CGACCAAACAAATTTATTTTATTTTTTAACCTTTCGACTCTCGATGTTTAATGAGACCCGACGAGAGTGATCGTAACACCTCAATTTGCTTTTACAATCATGTCAGAAAGAAACTAGTAGTACGTCTCAAAAAGGACGTGAACTTGTATACGTATAAAATAAAACAAAATGGGATTATAGTTTTTTTAAAAGAATACAACTTTATATTATAAAAAGTAGGAAAGAATTTCGAATAAGGAAAAATAAAAATGTGGGGAAAAATTGACAAGTAGAAACTTCACAAAAGAAGTGTACTTAAGACTGTACTATTACACTTCACTTTTTAGATAGTGATGTGCTTAAAAATACGAACGACGCGACGTTTAGGGTTGTAACAATACATAAAATTCGTCTAGATTATAACGTAATAAAAGAACAACTCACGACACGAATTTTTATGAAAAAAATAAAAGTCGAACATATTGTTAAAATGCAAAAAAAATAAAATTAATTTCTGACAGGAGAAGAACGTTGATAGTAGGGAAAGATACAACAATAATAAATGAAATTGCATCTGTTACACCTTAAATGCCAAATGTATCTTAACTAACAGATTAATTTTTAAATCCGAAATTTGCACAATATTCATAAACCTCACAAAATCCCTATGTAAATGTACGACGAGCTATGGTCATAAAAATACAAAGCTGGTGCGCTAAGGTATGCACTTAAGGTATGAGCATTAGGGAAACGTATTATCTTAATAACACCCGTTCATTTATCTTCTTTAATTTAAAAAATCACCGACACTAGAGTACTGGCGTAAGGATGTGTATTCGGTGCATTAAATGTTATTAGTACTGTCGTATTTCTGGAATATAATTCTGAAAGTACATACGCAGGAATAATTAGCCTGCGGAGCAACCAGTACTTCAGTCGTAACAAACAGTCAATTTCTCTTGACAAATTCTACCTTGCTCGCAAAAGCGTTTCTAATTCGACGTTTGCGTTTAAGTATGAAATTACTTATTCGTACGAAAGGAATTTCTTTTCGAACGAGAACTAAACCTGCAATTGCGTGAATCATCATCGCCTAAATTCCATGTTTGAAGACTATTTTACTCTATAAAATTGAATCATTGGAGTATTCTACACTAGTAAAAAATTTAAAAAAAATGATATGCTTCGATAAACATTAATTTCCAGAATTCTGGCTCCAAAATATAACTATTCGACTTTCTCTAAATACTCATCGTCACGAAACGTAGAAGTTCGTAAACAATGTATGCGACGCAATTAAAAATCAACCGAAACTATTAAACTAACGCAATAACGTAAATTGAATGTATTTTAAACTGGAAAAGTTTGCGGATCCGCATTTATTAAAACTTTTTCGCGGCGGATAGGTACCCGGAATATACCTGTAAATTTTCAGACACCACTGTGAAATCACCCTGTGTAAAGACACCGACAAAAAACAAATAAAAGTAACGAAGGCAAATTTCCACGTCTTATCCTGTTTTCGCTTACTTGAATTTCCCCAGCAATTTCCGTTGTATTCTTCCGAATAACGTCTACTCTTTCCTATGGTCGTCGAATAAACCATCGAATTTCGTCATTTTCAAGGCTATTCTAAATTCTAAACCCCGAATACCTTCATACACGCCCATGGTAGAATTACGTTTGCGTAATTGAATCGAGCCCAGCACTGTTCGATGTTGCTCTTTCCGGTGATATTTCGTCTCACAATTCGGAGCAGACGTCGTCGAAAGTTTCGCGAATTTTTCGCATGCAAGGGGTCGTAGTTTCTTGCTCCATTTAACTTCGCGTTTCACCCTTGCTGTTTCTCAGTTTTTCCGGCACGCCTCTCTTCTTCCCTTAACTCCTTGTCTTCTCCATTCGCGATCCTTTCCCATTTCTCGTCCTCCTTGCACCTTTGCCCCTTTCTTCATTCTCTTTATATTTAACAATATGCATTGGCATTTCGCTTTTCTTTTTCATTAGCTTCAGAATATATCTTGAATATTGATCAAAAGAATTTATTTTCTGGATTCCTTTTTTCCATTGTTAATCCCAAGAACCTCTGATGAAAGTATTTGTATAAAATAAAAATAACGATCATTACTAGAGAATAAATATTTTTTGGAATATCTATTTCGTTGCACAGTGCGTTATGAGAATAATTTTTATTTTAAATAATCAACGTCAATATAGTGCAATTTTTCTGTAAAACATTTTCTTAGAATTTTCATTCTGAATGTATGACAGTTTCTCACATTTATTGGTTCACTTTCACTGTATAATTTCGATAGGGGTTATATGTATACACATTAACACAATGTAATAATAATTTAATAGAACATTTACTGCAATATCAACCAATATTTTCCCCCCATTGTCGTTATTATAATTGGTACAGTAATTTCTAAGTTCACTGCTGTCGTCGATTATAAAATCGCTGGTTCGGAACTAGACTGGTTTAATACGCTCGAAATTATCCCGAACGTTTAAGAAAGTTAAGGTAGAAATAGAGGACAGTTCTGAGAAAGGATGAGTGAGTAATAAAAGACTAGCTGGGGGATAAAAACTGATGGAAATCAGGAGTGATACGGACAATTGAAGCGGGAACATAGGACGACGCAAGAAGTTTTCAGTTTCACGCGAAAGTTTAAACGTAAGAACCTAAGCGGAATCGCAGTAGATAAGAGAGACAGTCGAATCGACGTTATCGAGTAGAGAGTTAATGAGCATTACGAGATAAAAACATTCCTGGCAAGTCGAACAGCTTCCGAGCGGGAATCTGTCGCCTTAAAGCATTAAATTCCAAAATCAGTTCGAACTATGTTTAAACGAGTTTAAAGACCTAAGTTCAACGCTGTCTCTACGACATTAATACTTTTTGCACGATCGTATATTTATTGTTGCATTTGGTATTTATTTTTAGGAACGTCTTTCAACTCTGATGACTAAAAAATTTACTTCGAATACACGACCAAAATACATTTGACCAAAACGAGATAATTAATGATTATCGAGTAAAAACAATGTAGTTAGTTAGAAACATTGATTTATGGTCATCTTTATCATATCAGATTATAAAAAAACAGAATATGCTTTGTATACGAATGACTGTAAAAATCATTATTTTGTTGACTTAATAAGTGAATTCTGAATTTCAAACATTTAGACTTGACATAGTTTTCCCTCGAGATACAGAATTGGGTTTACCTCGGAACGTACGTTGGATCGAAAGAACTGAAATCAATACCACTTGAATTTTTGTAATGCAATCTAAAGTTTTGTCCCCTTAACTTCGGTCCAAGTTTCCGAAAGCCAATCCCACAGACAGCACAGAAGAAATACCGAAGTTCCATTGTATCATACTTTTGAAATAACCAACAAAGTGTAATGGAACATTTTTCATGGATAGGATAAAAAGAAGAACTTGTGAAAATTTGTTTATATAGAAAACGTTATCAATAAATATATATAATAAATGTTAAAACACACTGAATTTAACTGGTACGAATTGAACCTTTTCTGTCGACACAAACCTTACACATTTGGAAAACAAAAAACGCTTGATCAAACAAATAACATACTTCATTTTAACTGCTTTATAAATAAAGTTAATCAAGTGTGGAAGATACCAAACAAGAATCCCAGCAACTTTTTAATAACATGGCACGATATAACGGAAAAACTTTACTTTAGAGAGTTGAAAATAAAAAGGGTCGATTAAAGGGTTGGAAAATATTTTATGAATTCTCATAATGCAGACGGAAAAGTGGAATTTGGACTGAAATTTGTTTCGTCCTACTTTGCATGCATCAGTGAAATAGAATATGTTTTTGCACATTTTAGTTAAATGATATGGTATTTACTTAGCGAGACAATGTTACACGTTAATTACTCGTAAATCTTTGCAAATATGAGAACTCCGATATTTTTTGAAAAGTTTACTAATAACATTAAAATATGTTCCATGAAGGGAACAATTTGGGTAATAAGAAAAGTATACAGAATGAATTTTTTACGAGTTCCAAATAATATAAAAGCTAACTGATATTCTAATTGACTTGGTATTCCATTCTTCAAGCCTAAAAATTGACTAAAATTAGATTTTACTGCTTGTAAAAATTCTATCAAGTAAGGTCAGATTTTACAGAGTTTATTTGGTAATAAATACTCAAAACTCTGATGTCGTCCCAGACTTGCTCCACTCGAGGGTAATTTTACCCTATTTATCGAAATATTTACTCAATAATACCTTGTAAGGATTATTACGTGCATATATTTACTTATATTTATGTTATATATTTCATAAAAAGAGAGCAATGGTCGAGTTTGGTTCTACAGAACGTATAAAAATTTGCACGCGTAACTTTCACTGCGAGTTCCAAATCATATAAAAGCTAACTGATATTCTAAGTGACTTGGTATTCTATTTCTCAAGCCTAACAATTAACTAAAATTAAATTTTCAAAAAAATTTATAATAACAGACATATGGTAGAGCAAAAAAAAATTTCCAAGTGATGTGCAAATCTAAATTTCCCAAAAAAACAATGTTACAACCCAATACATTAAAGTTGTTTAACACTTTGCCTGTCACGTCACCCACATATGGGTGACAGGATTTACCACTACGATACTAGAAAAATTAATTCTCAAGTTAAGAGGTTGAGGGGAATAAATTTGGACAGAATTTGGGAATTTCAACAAGGTTACAAAAATAAGTACTGAAACAAATTTTAGGTTACGCAGCTCACAATGGTCTAAAATCAAAATTGTACTTTTGCAGAATATTATACGGTTTTGATCTGGCAGTGAACGTGTTAAATGAAACATAGAAAAGGGTACATCGGTACCCAGTCGTCGATGCAAAGGTTAATGACTCTCGTCGAAAAAAGCAGGATATCGATGCGTGTTGCTCGCATACCGCGCGTACATAAACATCCCCAGTCTATCGACGATTATCGAGTTTGTCAATGACCCACGTTTTCCTGTTTACTCTTCCAGGACGGCGGCACGGAGTCCTGTTACAGGGCGGTCCTGAGCTTCGACACGATCCAATGGTCGCACGCCGGCGAATGGTTGCTGCTGGTACGCTCGTCGGAAGGGATCACGGACGCTTCCGTTCTGTTGAACGTGACACGAGCCTCCGAGTATAGTCACGCTCACTTCCGGTCAGCGAGCCTCGCCTGCCTGTCGCTTTGTCTGGCTCTGATCATCCTGCAGAATCACCGTCGCTGAGGACCGAGGCTACAGCTTGCTCGACGAACGCTCTTTCACGGAACGAACAAGAGGATCGAACGCAGTCAGCTTCCCAAATGCGTCGCGGCGGAGAGGGTTGAGGGGGGGAGGAATGTAGTTCCGTCAGTATTTCCGAAATCTCGACGATTGTAAATAATATATAAAAGAAGCCAAAAGAGTAAAACAAAAAAAAAAAAGAAAGAAAACTATACGACAGAAACGAATATTACTCCAGGACGTCGGACTTAAACGCGACCCGGAGCCTTTTGTCGACGATAATCCGGCCTCGACGTTCCCTGATCGTGGATCTCGTCGCGAGATCTTTCGGATACTCTCGTCCTAGGGGTTTTTTCTAGCGCATAGACGACGATAAGCATAGATGATCGAATCGAGGTAGCGACCGTGTATGTTTGTTTACTTCGATATCTGCGTTCAGTTTCGTTATTGGCAGCCTTTATTCACGAAGATGCGGAGGTACCGCGGGGGCGACTTTTTATCCGGGTGTACCGTGAATTGTCTTTCCCTTTGCCTCGGGGTCGGCGGAAATCGCGGCCGTTGGTCGCGGAAGATGGATCGTTGCGCGATGCGAGGAAGAGTTTGCGAACTGACTGGCGTGCCTTCGACGTTCGAACAACATTTCCGTGGCTGTTCGAGCGTGGGTAAGTCGCGAGAGAGAGAGAGAGAGAGAGTAATAGCGTTACGCGGGGCACGTGTAAATATTTGTATAGTTTATTTGTAAGGTAACGACGACGTGCTGCGACGGTAGAAGCCCGTGGAGCCGGTGTGCGCCGAACAGGAGACCAATTTTTCATTCGAGTTTCGCTGAACCGACGGGGCGTCGCGAGACAAACGAAAACCGTTCTCTGTTGGACAGAGAAAACGGAAAGAACGAACTTAATAAGATGGGTGATAAAAAGAAAAGGAAAGAAACAAACGCCACGTGTGTCACGGCGTAGCGACACCAAAGAGGAAAAAAAGAGAGACGAGTAAAGATACAAAAAAAAAAGTATTCCCGAAAGAAAATAGGAAGATTAAAAAGTACATTGTTGTATATTATTTTAGGTAAGTAGTACTAAATAGCGTGTATATAGTGATTGTAAGTGCATAGGCTATCGTTACACCGAGGGCTATGTATGACGAATTATACAGTGACGCTGTTAGAGATATATTTATTATTCGTTGATATATTTTTATAAAGTTTTATTTAGCCATAAGTTCTCGTTCGCCTTCTCCGGATGTCGTGTATTGATTATCGTTAATTTCGCTCTTCGAGGAACGAGAAAGGCGAGGAAGAGGCTTTTCTGTTCGAACGTTTCAACGAGGATCGTTATAATAACGCCGCTCTACGCATCCCCCTCCCGACGACGAACGTCCTGAAATAATTTAATATTTGACGGTGGCTGTATTCGTAACGGAGGAAAGACAGATGATTAGAATAATCGCGAAATGCGTGTCCATCGTTGTCCTCCGTGAATTAATTAATGTAATCGTAGCGTCTCGTTTCGATCGTTCCAGTTCCTTCGGGTATGAATATCGTTGCGTCAAAGTTTCGTGAACAACGCGGTGGTTCCTAATTTTTCTAACGCGTACCGGCTGCGATGCGTAGCTTCGTTCGACCGTTCGCCTAATTTGCACCGGAGGTCGGTATTGCTCATAGACACGAGACGAAATTACCTGGTAATCCTTTGATGTATCATTTAGTCTACACGATGGATCAGACGTCTCCGTTTTTTTTCGTTTACTTTGTCGAATTGCTTAGGTGTTACAAATAAGCAACGTGATGTAATCGTTGTACCCCATGACGCCTAAAAGTCCAATAAATGATATTTACAATATTCACGTGTAATCAAGCTCATTTATCGACTGTCATTTTACTCCTTACAGCTTTTACCATATCTCGAATTTAAAATTACTTCCAATATTACTCGACGAGTTTCGCGTGTCAATTTTAATAAAATTTGCAGGATAGTTTATTAAAATCATCCTAAAAATATCGCGGTATTTTGAATGGTGCTAGGCAGTCTTCTTCGAAAATTAATTCCAAGAAAATGAATACAAGTTTAGCCAAAAAAGAAAAATTTTCTTTACTCATTTACTTAGACATAGTTATTCTTAAAATCTGTAAACGAGAAATTAGAACATTTCATTGAAATATTGAATTACTTTCATGGTATCATTTTTCAGTGAGAAAATAGAAGCCGTTTCAGTACTTTCTCGGGAAATAGAGTTTTTAAAAAATTCATTGAAAGTTCGGTTCGAAATTAAATTCGAAAATCCTAATTTAAGCTATCGCTGTAAAATGAAAATATAATAGGAAACTGAAAAGATCACTTTTAAACTTCTAAAAAATTTCACATTCGGTTATTAATTCATACGTCGTTTAATGGCTTCTGGCAGCGTAGTACGATGTTCTAAAAATTGCATCTGGGATTTTTTTTCCGTACCACGTTTTCTTTTCACTTATTTTTTATAATAAAAAGAACATTAAAGAGCCAAACTTAAGAAAGATTATTCTTTTGAAAAATATAATTTAAAAAATCGATTTTTCGACTGCCTAGTCCCATTATCTAAGTTGTTTCTTTTGTTTATATCGTTACTTGAGAATTACGAATAGTATTGAAATTAAATTGAAACAAATGCCATTATTAAATGTACCCATCCTGAAAATCTATATATAATTTAGGAAAAAATTTAGTTTCTTATTGTTTATTACCTCCTATTTAATAAGAACTTGTATGCCATAAAAATAATGTATCAACGGGTATAAAAATTGATGAAATTTACTTGTTTCATTTAATTACTCAGAAAGGTTACTATTTATTATCAAACATGGAAACAAAATTCTTTTTCTATATTTTGGATTCACTGACAATGTGGGATGTGTACTTAAAAAACATCCACCTATCAATAACAATAAATGAAAAAATAAACAAGCATTTTCCTTGATTTATTTAAAAAAAAAAACCTTAAATGTACAATACTACAAATTCTCGTTAAAACAGAATACTGTTGCTTTTTCTCCATTGTGTAAAATATGAAGATTTAAAATCAACGTTACTTATTAAACAAAAAAAGAAAAAGATGAAACAATGTTCCATTATAATAAATTTAATCAAAGCTACATAATTAAAGTGCAGTCGAACGTTTCACGTATACAAAAGTGATTTGAAATCCATAGATTGTTAAATCAAAATCATTTCGCGTTCAAGTTTCTTTCAACCATGCAAACTGAGTCTTTAGAATAATAGAAAAATCAATGTTGCAGTCTTTATTTTACCGTGTGCAGACGGAAGGGGAACGAAAAGTAGACAAATTACTTTCACAAAGAAATCACGCAGCTCCCTTCGGCTGTAGTACTCGGTTTCTCAGTCATTTTCTCTGTAATCGTTCTTGTCGATGCTTCGAACGTGGCATTTAAGAACCCCACTGTTTTTCATTGCTTCTTACTTTAACGTCTTTCTTCCGACGTTTCGTCGAATGGCTACAACTTAATAAGCAACGAAGGGAACGTGTAACTAATACAAGTCACGAACCTCTTGAAAACGAAGCAAGGTAAGTGCACCTAATTTTAACAATAACTTCACTTAATCTAGTTGTTTTTCATTTTTAGCAAACAATATACTACAAATTTATTGTTATTAGTGACACTATAATTATTATTTCGTGCATAGCTACCCAATAAAATTGCAAACAAGCGACAACGTTCATAACAGAACAAATGTTAATAAAACGACTATTATATTTTTGATTACAGTGTCAAATACTCGTACATTGACACCTATATTCGAGCATCGATGACGTTGTATCTTTTTTTTATTTGCGTCAGACATGTACAATTTTTTTCTACGAGGATATGTTTAAAGAAGAATATTTTGCCACAGCTCTAAAATAAATTCCACGATCGAAAGGAACTATCGAGATTAAAAATGGATACTTTAAACTTTCTATTTTATAGAAAGAAAAATAAAGTAGTCTCTTTTCATTGTATATGTTTTAAAATCGTCTAGTACACTTTGGTCCCCCATTTTCATAGGATCACCCAAAAACAGTTAGTCCAACGAAAAAATGATTTAAGCCTAAAAACATGGTCGGTGCTTGGAAGCCAGGCGTACGTTTAAACGTTCATATCAATAAAGGTAACTACCTCGTTCGCCGGAAGATTGTTCCCAGCGACCAAGAAAACTCACGAAAATGAAGAATAAAACCGACCAACGACGGCAGTAATAAAAGTAACGAGACCCGGTACGCTGTTGCGAACATGCTAATAGAGTCACGTGAAGTGGCTGTGAAATACTCGCTGTTACGCAACCGTGCATTTCTTTGCTTAAACGCAACAAGGTTTCCCCGGCGAAGAAAAGCGAGCCCGAAAAGAAAGAACGTCGGAAACTCGCGTTCGCCAGCTCCTTTCGTCGCGCGAGGCACAGACGAAGTCGTTGTTCCGCAGAGTAGTCAAGAAACAGCCTCTTCACCTTCGCTTGTTCGCGAAATTTCAAGAAGCCAATGAAGATCCCTGGCGTTGAAGAAGCTTTTGAACTTGATACAACAACGAAGGGACCCGTTCGCGATCGATTTCTCCGATGTCAATAAGAATCACCCTCTGTACAAACCCACCCTCGATTAATAACCCCGACAGACACCAAAGAGTACCTCAAGAATTAACTTATTCCCGAAGAGAGCAACTCTCGTTCGTAAAAATAAAATTAATTTGTCGATCTACCGAGGGGAAATTGAATGGCAAACCCCCCAGGTGCTTGAAACGGTGGTTTTCACGTGTTTTGGGTGGGTTTCCCCTGAAACAAAACGAAACTTTCTATTTCCCTTTCTTTGTTCCTCTGAATCTTTAAATTTTGAGAAACTTAGGTGTAATTATATTTGTTTAATATTGAGTGAACAAATTATATTTTACGACATTGGGCGAATTGCATTTTTACGAAGTCCCTTAATAAGCAAATTTTAACTTATCCAATTACTCTTGTGAGAATTAGCAGTTTGTTGTATGTCTCGTAATTTTAAATGTGTTGTTACGATTCCATATTTTTCGAACTTTGATACGAATAAA